GCTTTGAGGTAGCAAATACGGTTAGGCAAAATAGTCTGTAATTTAATATATGTCGCCTATGCGCTTAGTCTGTTTTATACTGTAGCCTATAAACACGTATTTTCTTGGCGGAAGTAACCATATTTTTTCGAGAATGCGTTTTTTCCCACCCACTTTCAAAATTCGGCGCCCGTTTTTCATTTTTGCGCCCCCCAAGATTTGCCAGCTGGGGGGGCCGTGGCCCCCCGGCCCCCCCTGCCAGCACGCCACTGCCCACGAGTGTTTCAAGCGCCAATCTAAAGAAAACTTGATCCCGTAATTTTTGTTGGATTGGTCAGCAGTAAGGGGCGTTTGTTTTCGTTTTGTAGACTTCCCACCGGGCACACGACGTTGTTTCAACGTTGAAATTTGGTAGAAAAAAGGTTGCGAAGTCGACAACCTAATATCTACGTTGCTCTGACGTTGTTTTTCAAACTTTGGTTCAACAGCAGCCAACAGACGTTGAATTAACGTTCATTCATGGTTAAATGTACGACGTCGATTTGTGAACCAATCTCAACGTTGTCTTAACGTTGATTCAACGTTGAATTATGGTTGACGAGATTGGCAACCTAATTTCAACGTTGTTTCAACGTCAAAACAGTAACGTCGATCCAATTTGCATAGTCAACCCTTTTTCAACGTCTATCCAACGTCTGGAAGGTCATTTCCAACGTTGATTCAACGTAGACAGAAGGCATCTAAAACATAAACTACAGAGAATACAATTTCACTCAGCTGTCTGATGAATTGTCACGTCCGTTGGTGATGGTGATGAATTGTCGCGTCCATTGACGTTAACAGGACAGTAAACCACCTATATCCGTATCAAAGGGGTTGATCGGTTAGATTTCAGGCTACACCACTCGCTATTTCGGTATTTTCTTTCCCCAACCATGGATCCTTCTATTTTACACTATGAACGAATAATCGTCAAACAAAAACTACAAACTCACGAACTAAACATAAATCCAAAGAGAATTCGTTCATTGACATTAGATTCCATTCGAAAATTTCCGACCATTTCATTCCTATCTGTACGTCACGATCGTCCTAATTAATGACAATTTCATCGTTGTTAATTTCAATTCTCATGGAAAACATTCGATTGAGAGTGAATATGTGACCCACTCGTTCAATTCAGATGACAACATCTAGACGTGGGTTCAGTACAATCAGATTAGCGAGAGCAAAGTACAATGAAAAGCTGGTCCCCCCCCAAAAAAAAGGAACCAAAATTAACCAAATCCAGAACAACCAGAGTAAGACAATGGTATTAGGATTTCTGATTGTTGCTTTAAAACAAAACTACCAACATTGTGGTCAATGAAATATCCAGGCTTAAGTGAATTAAATTTAAACTCGAATGGCTGTTTTCCAGTTTTTAAGCATTTTTCATACGTATGATCTAATGCGTGCATTTGTTGACGTAATTAATACTTATATAGCATTTCGAACGACGTTTTTCACGCAGTTGTCCGTGCATACACACACACGTGCGAAAAACGCTTAACTGGAAATAGCAAATGACTGATGAAAACATGCACAACTCAACGAAAACGAACGTATCCACAGTTTTCATAGGAGGGCTAAGCCGTGCTTAAAATACAGGGTGTCCCAAAAAAAACCCAAATCAAAGGGGTGCTTGTTTCCTGCCAATGTTTCGCCATGTCTCTCAAGGTGGGTAAACAGTAGGAAACAATGTTTCCGCAACAAAAATGGCACTTAATTGGGAAACATGAAATGTTTCTGAATTTGATAGGAAACATTTCTGCTTCGATCTCGGGAAGCAAATTGTGTTTCTGCAACGATGTTTCCACTGGTGCGAAAACACATACAGAAATACTTGAGAAAACATGGCGAATCACCGCAACAATGTTATAATACTAAATGATACTAAAGGTCTTTCACTTGACATGTTGCAGTTCATTGATTTCTTAGTTTCAGGTAGTTGTACCATACAGGGTGCACTCAAAGAGGACTGAAATGAACAAAACCCCCAAATAAATCCACCTGGGACTGTAGGTGACAGTATCTACCAATATATTCTTGTTTCTGACTTGATGTCTGACTAGCGTGTGTGACTTTCTCAGTTCTGGCCTGTATAATGAGATCCAGTGCAACCCTATCAAACCTATAATCTACATTCAAGAAGTACAATCCTACTCCTAGTGGTTCAAGAGTCCTCAATCCAACATGACATTAGCCAGAAAGCTATAGGTAGAAATCATATTATCAGATAAGCTGTCCACAGCATCCATCCTGAGCTTCTGGCACCCCTAGATTATGCATATTATAATAAACACAGACTCTAGTATGTATAAACATAAAGAATATAGATAGAAGCACATTCATTTGTTTCATGCCTTTACACCTGCATGAATGTACACTTATTCAGCACATACAATTGCATAAAACAAGCATGTCAGATTTCAGTCATGAGTCTATATAGAAAGCCCCTTTGACATGAGGGAAGAAACTGAATTAAATAAAACAAAAGTTTCTGTATTTTCTACGACAAAACATTAAAAAGACGGCTTGTTATCTAATGATTATATTCTATATCATTTACTCCCACTATCTTTTAAAAATTAACAATAAAAGCATACGATAGTATGTGAACTATTTACCTGTAATGTATCAGTCAATTTGTTAGAATATGCTCCTGATATTCTGTTGACAATGATAATAAGATTATTAGTTAATGAATGACATTGATTACTATACAGGGTGTCTCAAAAAAACCCAAACTCATTGAAATTGACGTATTGTTCGATATTCAATGCCCTAGCACTAAGTTAATCCCACGAGTGCATAAAAGATTGACATAACTGCTATAATGAATGGTATTACTCAGCGTAAACTTGTTATGTCAGGCATAAAGTACTAAACCCACGAATGCATATTACGCATATTACAATTTACGAAGCATTTTTAAATTCCCATGAGCAAACAAACGTTCACTTTACAAAGATATTTTAATTTTTTAAAACAAATTAATCACCCTGTCAAAATCCTTTGTGTTACGGCATTGAAATTCGAACAATACGTTATTTCAATGATTTTGGGTTTTTTTGAGACACCCTGTACAGGGTGTATCAAAAAAAGCGCAACCTCGGAATTTCCCAAGAAATCCACATTGTTTTAAAGACAAAAGATTTTAGGCGCCTGGGAATTTAAAATAGCATAACTGTCAAAATTACTGCACACACGAGTGCATAAAGCAAAATTTAACAGTAATATGATCTATTAGCAATTCGATTTCAATTCCCAGGGGCCTAAAATCTTTTATGCTTAAGAATTGCAAAGTGATTTCTTAGGAAATTCCGAGGTTGCGTTTTTTTTTATACACCCTGTAGATATGTATGTAAAATGTAATCTCTGGATACCACAAATTCCAGTACAAATAGTTGCTCCATGTACCAAACTGTATACCATTTATGGTAATAGAATGTGATATCTCAAAATACTTATTATAGATATAATCTTGTATATATATATGTGTGATTTTTATTATTAAATACATTCTTTTGTAAAACTCCAAAGTTGTATGTTGTGCTTCGTATTCGAGAAAGAGCGATGGCAACGGTACAAAACCCAACAGGTTATGGGCCCAGGAGAGGCTTGATTTTTGATGGAGACGAGAACAAGTATGAATTATGGGAGGTGAAGTTTTTGGGATATATGCGACTCCAAAAACTTTACGTAATATTTCAAATCCGAGTTAGTGTTTTAGACGTGGTTTCTAAATACAAGTGCCATGAACAATGGCGAGGCGCAGCCGAGCCATTGTTGATTGTTCATGGCACTGGGGATTTGGAAGCCAAGTTTAAAACACTAACGAGGATTTGAAATTGCTTCTCACACATCATTAGACTTTCATAGCAATGAGGCATGAAATTATTAGATATTCAAAAAAGTGAGCGTGGGCATTAACGATTACATTCGCTTGAAAGTTTGCATGAAGTGCAACGAAGCATTCAGTTCGCTTTCGTCGTGAATAGATGAATTTTGTTGGCAAAAGAGCATGGTATCTTCTTATAATATAAGAAAAAGCGGTTTCGAGAACCAGAGAGTGTTGAGCACAGCATTGTAAACAGTATTGTCGCTCGGCTGACAAGGTCGGGGATCCGAAAAACGATATATCAGATTGTGTGTGCGATAAGGCGCTATCTGGTGAAAAATGAAAGAGCCGAAGTGAATATATATTTTGTAGACGGTAAACATTACTGGTAAGTTGCTGTATTATAGTGTTTAAAGCGCTGTTTATTATGATAGTTGGTTGTAGTTTTCAAACGTTTAGGAAAAGTGTTAGCTATAAAGTGTAGTTAGAATAAATTTCTAAATACAACTTACTGTATTTAGAAATAATTCTAAACATAGCAATTAAATATATTTGCATAATCTTTTGTTTACGCCTCAATTTCCCTATTGTTCAAAGCCCTTCCCACTTGAAGTAATTAAAGTCCTGGTCTAGACGGGGTATCCAGATAGATACACGTGATGTAAATTAAACCATGTCATTGGCCGAAATGCTATGAATATCTAATGATGTATGAGAAAATATATTCATTCCTAGCAGTAGCGAAAGAGAGCTAGATGAGGCAAAGAACGCAGATGCCTTTGCCGAATTAGTGCAATGTCTAGATGACAGGAGCTTGGCCCTGGTCATACGAGAGGCGAAAGACAATGGAAGAAAAGCCCTGACGGTTCTGAGAGAACATTATCAAGGCAAGGGAAAGCCCAGAATAGTCTCGCTGTACACGGAGTTAACGTCGTTGAAGAAGACAGAAAATGAGACAATTACGGACTACATCATACGGGCAGAAACTGCCACGACCGCATTGAAGGCTGCTGAGGAAGTAATCAGTGATGGACTTCTGATTGCCATGGTACTCAAGGGTCTACCAAACGCGTATAAAACATTTTCTACGGTGGTTATTCAACGAGAAAACCAGATGAATTTTGGCGACTTCAAAATCGCATTGCGTAACCACGAAGAGAACGCGAATGGCGACAACGTAATGTACGTGAGAATGGCGACAACGTAATGTACGTGAAGAAGAAATTTGAAGGAAAGTGTTTTAAGTGTGACAAGAAAGGACATAAAACTTCCGATTGCTGGATGAAAGCTGAAAAATGGTGCAACAAGTGCAAGAGCAAGACACACAATACCAAGGATTGCAGAGCAAGAAGAGACGGTGTAAAGACGGCCGCTGAAACCGGCGAAGAGAACGCTAAAATACATTCATTTGCATTTACACTTAAGGAAAATAATTCTAATGGAGGTAAGACCTCAAATCTACTAGTAGATACAGGGGCAACAAGTCATATAATTAATGATAAATCTAAATTTGTAAATTTTGATGAGAAGTTCGACCCAAGTAATCATGTAATAGAGTTAGCTGACGGAAGTAAAGCTAATGTTGTTTTAGGTAAAGGTAACGCTAAAGTTAAATTGTACGATATTAATGGTAATTTACAAGATGTAATGCTTAGTAACGCGCTGTATATTCCGTCTTATCAGCAAAATATTTTCTCCGTTCCTGCTGCAATAGAGAAGGGGGCTGCTGTTAGCTTAGATAGGCAAGTTAGAGAGTACAGGGACCCCGAGGGAACAGTGTTTGGCATCGAACAGGTAGGTAAATTATATTACTTAAATAGTATATCATCTTCTCAAAATAACGCATCGTCCGTAATGGAATGGCACAAGATATTAGGGCATTGTAATTATAATGATGGCAAACTTAAGAGCGTGGTTAAAGGTATGAAGATAGTAGATGACAA